AGAGAAATGTTTAGATTAAAAGATATCACGATTTTCCGACGCCAGGACGTGATATCTTTCAAAATCGATAAAAAGCGAAATTACTCTGAAATGGTTGAGAATCGGACCATGGACAATATGAACTTTTTTGTTCATTTTAGGGTGAAGAATCTACTGGAGAAGTTTGTAGCACGAGTAGCAATTCACCCTGTATAAATTGGAGAAATAAGCCTTTTAGTACCCAAAACTTTGAAAAAAAAATTTTTTAAGTTGAAAAACTTACTATGGTGAGTCTAAACTATTATTTCTAAACTTATGGACCTGCGTATTTTATAAAACGTACTCCATTTCCAGATGAAAAAATTGTTGATGAAAGGCAAAAACCGTGGTTGACGGATTGGTCCTCCCGATAACCTAAGCAGGAAACAAGGAATCCTACTCACCGTATTAAGAATAGGCCATACACGGTTGACTCAAAGGCACTTGCTCTTGAGCAAAAGCAACGGAGAAAGGTTGCTCTATGTGTCGCTCATAATATAAACTTTTCATGTCTTGGCTTCTTACAGAGAGCTGTAGGCATGCCGCTATTTTTAAGAATCGTTCTCGGGAACTGTAGCGAGTTTTTGAGACCCTGTTCGGCTTTTTAGAGAAAGTGTTTTTTTAATATATAAATCTGTATTATGTGTTTTGAGATTATATGTTTTCATTGAGTGCGTGTATTTATTAGTGTGAGGAGCTGATAGTGTAATATAGCATCACCATCGCTCCTCCAGGGTACCCCAAGAACCCTAATTTAAATTTATTAATATAGTGTCGGTCGATGGAGGAATATCGAGCACTCCACCGACTAATCAGAATGAGTAGACTGTACGAATGTATTTATTTGTGCGACTGTATTATGGGAGTAAGTTTTAGACTAGATTGTTGTTTGCATGCGTTGTGTCTGAAATGAAGTCGACATTCCAGTTGGTCGGGAAGCGACGGTCTACTGGGTATCTGGCTTATGGAGGTTACTAGCGATCCAGCCGCATAGCGGGGTATGTGTACTCTTCTGACGCCTAACAAGACCCGTGCGTTCAATATCAGAAATATAACCTCCATCCGGTTATCCTATACAGTGTAGCCAATGCACCTACCCATTTAATCTAAATTTCCCTATCCGCGAGCCATTTTCGATCGGTGCTTATTTGTTAAAATCTTAAATTATTCTATAAAGCTTCATAAATATGGATCCTAGAGTTGGCACATCGGGGAGCGATAACCCTTCAGGGTGAAAGTCCAAAATGGGTCTTTAGTGGAAAATTCGAATAGTAGGGTTTGGATAAAAAAAATACCTTTGACATGAATAATTTTATAACAAAGCAATAGCCCATATTTCCGTATCCGTTGCAGTCAGATAAGATAAGGAGATCACGCATATGTGGGTATTATGAAATGAGTCACGCATCTGCATAACAACAAAATGGTCTTGTTTTTAGTCTCGTTGAGGGTGGAAGGGAATAGTACGTCAATAAATCAACATTAATGCTCCATCGATACGTTTCGGGCATAAATAAGAAGTATACCAATTTTACATTATTGTATTTTTTTGTATACTTTCACATTTGAAAAAGCACACCTAGAGATTACCCTTTTGTAAATCTCTCATCATAAAAGTGATGCAATGCTCTGAAATACGGCCTTCGCCCCGTCTCTTCTTGCATGGGACGTAATTCCAGTTAATAAAAACGGTATTCAAAGAGAAAATAAGGCAAAAATACTAAAAATAAAAGAGCAAAACATTTCAAAACCTTGATATTAGAATAATTTACGAGTTATTTTAACAGGATAATGCAAGGACTCAATTTAAAAGTGCGCCTACGGTTTTTTTGATTAGGTAATGGCCTAACCGTTTGCGTGCAAAGACGAAAATTGAAATAATATAATAAATAAGAGTCATTTATAAAAGGAGGCAAAGATCAATGGGTCGGGATACGAGAAACAAATGATTTTATGATTGGTTCAATAACGATCCCCAGACCTGACCCCCATTCCAAAGCCAAAGGGATTGTAGATGAGTTTATAAATCGTTCCGGCTCCTAGTGGCACCGAATTGGGTCATTCGGACGCCGTAATACAGAAATTGAAGTTGTACCCGGTTCTTGCGGCCGTAAATCATTCTACAATCGAATCTTCATACCCTGAAAAATAAAATTATGAGAGCAGTCGCGATGTTGAAACTTTTCTCGGTTGAACGGGAAAATTAACTCAATAACCCAACCGTCGTTACGGCCCTGCAAATAAATCAGTTTGAAATTTTTGACATCAAGATTGAATTGAATTCTTTGCTTAGAGAAAGTTGACAATTTTTTCAGGCGAAGCTCGTATTTGTAATCAAGCAAATCAATTTCTTCAATAAGAATGTTAAAAAAACAATATCACAAGCAATTGATTTCAGTTAAGTCGTTTCCGAACTTTCTCTTCTTCGAATCATAACTGAATTCACTGCCACACATGAAATGATTAAACAAATTTAAGATAGATAGAGAGGGAGTTTAGGCTGGAAGAATAAATATAGAACGAGAGAGAAAAAAGAGTGACAGAGTAGAAAGTGTGAAAAAGAAACAGAAATAACAAAAGAGAAAAAATTAGAAGGTGTGGATAAAGGAAAATGAGATAGTTTTAAACAGAAAAATAAGCAGATAAATAAATACATAGATATATAGGCATATAGATTAATAAATAGTGTAATGAAATACACTTGATATTCTGTTTAATGGGATTTGCAAATTTCTCTTTTTTTAACATTATCAGACAAAGTGGCCATACCGCCGGACAGCTCGAGCGTGCCCCAGCCCTAAAGGGAGAAAGGGCTTAAAGAAAAGGGGTGGTAAAAGACATGTTTATTGGACGAATAGGGTTTTATTGAGAGTAGCAGAAGTTTGTCAATTACTGAGAGAGAGAAATAAGGGAGGGGGGAGGGTGAAAGGGATTGAGAGGGGGGAAAGAGTGAGAGAAAAAGAAAAAAGGTAGAAAGTGTGAGAACGGCACACAGATAAAGAGAGTGAATTGGTAAGTGAGAGGATAGATGTGATAAAAGAAAGCAAAGGAGAAGAGAGAGTAAGGATAGTAAACTTTGTCATAATAATTAGCAAAACAATAAATCAAATCAATCAAACATTATTAACACTGCGCGTAGCTCAATTCGTAAAAAATCCAATTAAACTTAAACCAACTTAATTTACCAAAGTAGAAAGAGAGAGAGAGAGAGAGAGAGAGAGAGAGACAAACAGACAGACAGACAGACAGACAGAGAGGTAGCGAGAGAGAAGTGAATAAAATTGGAGAGGGGCAAAAAGTTATAGAGAGTGAATTGGAATTGATCAGTAAAAGGAGAGCGAGGATAGAAGAAGATGAAGGAGAAGAGAGAGCAATGATAATAACACATTATCAAAATAACTAACAAAACAATAAATCAAATTAAACATTACCAAACCATGCGCGTAATTAATCGAAAAAAAATCTAATTAAATAAACATATAAAGCATTTAACATTGTGAATATTTTATAAATCAACTTAATTTACTGAACTGGAGAGAG